TAAATTTAAGTTAAGTTTAGCAAGTACTCAGCGCACCCAACTAATAAATTATAGCAAAATAAATAAACTGTGTATGCTAAATGTAAGCGACCTTCTCCGCACCAACATGCGTATTATTTTTTGCATGGAAAAATGCAGATTTTATGCATAAGTGTGACGCTTGCAACAGGCATGGGAACTGAATAGATAAACGGTCATACTATTATAATCACAAAATGACAATGTTCAACATCCTGACTGATGTAACGAGATGTAAACAATACACGAGATGTAACGTAGCACTCCTTTACAAATATCCTTCCATTGGTTAGTTTGTTTTGAATTTCGCGCAAAGCTACACGAGGGCTATCTGTGCTAGCCGTTCCTAATTTAGCAGCGTAAGACTAGAGGGAAGGCAGCTAGTCATCACCACCCACCGCCAACTCTTGGGCTACTCTTTTACCAATGAATGGTGGGATTGACCGTCACATTATAATGCCCCCACGGCTGAAAGGGCGAGCATGTTTGGTTGTGATGGGGATTCGAACCCGAAACCCTCAGATTGCGAGTAGAGCCCCCTAACCACCTGGCCATGCTGGGCCAGCCTTCCATTGGTACTTTCAGAGGACGATTATGGCACAAAGTTGTATTTCCTACTGACCCTCCAAAAAACTAAGCTGGCTACCACACTTAATGCTGCGTAACCTATAAGACATACTATTCATACAGTTAACAAATTAAATAAAAGTACCTTATACAAAATTGCTCTGTAATAATCCAACTTTTATTAATTTTTTTTTACCAGTTTTAATAAAATATACACCAACAAAATTACTCTGAATTCTAAATAATTTGCACAAAAAAGAAATTTTGGAAGAGTAATGTAATAACCCATTTATCATTCATCAGCTGTTAACAGGAAATTGGCTACCCAATTTAAATAGTTTTAAGAAATTCTATTTCTGGGTGCCTTAAAAAGTAAGTAATTTTATTACACATGGACAATAAACTCTTAGTACACAGTGTATTTTTTATCAAACTTCTTGCTCAGTTTGAAAATTATACACGTAAACCAAAAGCAAACCATGTGGTTTTGATCAACCAGATATTTACTTGAACTTTCATCATATTATCCTTCAATATGTCGAACAATAGGATATAAAACTTTACATTTTTTCCTTACTGGGCCATCACACTCTAACGAAGAAGAAGAAAAAAGGGGGAGGGCAAACTTGGTCATCTGACTTTCAACAATATCACTATGATCCTGTTTTCTATGAAAACTGCAATGCTGTATTACAGAACAAGAATGGATGTTTCACACACCCAGTAAGTTTACAACACAACATCAACCTTATGGTATCATATTGTTTAATATTTATACAAGGTAGCATTCTCCTATGGTTTACTACAGAGTCTCAGGCTGTGATCCTTTTTCACTTCTCAATATATATATACATTTTGATCTCATATAGGTGCTTCTTTTTATATAACTGTTTACAGTTTTTACACTGCAGGAACGTTATAATCATGCAAAGTGCACGATCCCAGAAACTGAGAAACTGTACGATGAATATACAAATACAAAAAGCAGTGAGGCTCTAGAAGCAGTACATACAAAATAAAATGCTGAAAAAATAAATGTAAAAAATATTTTCTTTTCTTTAGAAGGGTTTCCATTTCTTACCTTAATATCAACTGATACTTTATGTGTTGGAAAAGAGAAATGAATTGGGGGATTTTGGCCATCTAATAAGACAATTTTTTAACATTCTGTCATGATTCCTGTTCATCTATACTTATAAAGATATATATATTCATATAAAGTTTGTGGAAGAAGTGTACGTGCTGAAGGACACAATACTCGGACAACAGTTGCCAACTTACTTGTGGAAGAAGTGTACGTGCTGAAGGACAAAATACTCGGACAACAGTTGCCAACTTACTTGTGGAAATGTACGTGCTTAAGGACACAATACTCGGACAACAGTTGCCAACTTACTTGTGGAAGAAGTGTACGTGCTGAAGGACAAAATACTCGGACAACAGTTGCCAACTTTGTGGTAGAAGTGTACGTGCTGAAGGACACAATACTCGGACAACAGTTGCCAACTTACTTGTGGAAGAAGTGTACGTGCTGAAGGACACAATACTCGGACAACAGTTGCCAACTTACTTGTGGAAGAAGTGTATGTGCTGAAGGACACAATACTCGGACAACAGTTGCCAATTAAACTGCGACAGAACAATTCCTGCTGGATAGCACAAGTTGTAATAATGGCTACCAAACAACTTTGGGGAGAAATATTCCAATTCAAAACCAAAGGCTATAATAACAGGTATCACCCTTATTTGATAATGAGGATTCTTTATTGGTGAACACAAAATTATGACAACAGTTACCAATTTACTTGTGGGAGGAGAATTTAATTTTAAGAACTCAGAATGGGAAATAAGTCAGTATTGAAGAGTAAGAGATTGTGGTAATAACTGCCTACTTGAGAAAGAAGATTCCTTATTGGTGAACACAAGATTCCAACAACAGTTGCTAACCAGCTTGTGAAAGTGTTCTATCTGAAGAGCAAGAAAGTTCAAAGAAACATTACATTTTAAAAATTTGCTGCCCGACTAAAATTTGGACTGTTGACGCATGTCTATGACCAAACCACCCTCGCCCTACCAATCACACACACACGTGATTGTAGCCCTACATATAGTTTATTTCTTCCTATGCATGCACGTGAAGTAAAATATATTGTAGTTATTATTTTCGTTCATCATTACAAAAACAATAATATTTACTACTTCTATTTGTTGTTTACTAGTGTTAAAAATAAAGGTGTCTAACGTCATCGTCCCTGTTAACGTTTTTTTTTTACGGAAAAGTATCATTCAATCTGGATTATCTGCATAAATTAGCTGCGCACCCTAACGAATTTATTTTTGCTAATTAAACAAAAAAAAAATACATTCAGAACACACAACGATGTTATATTATTATGTTAATTATAATGTAACGATACAAATACTAGCCAGTTAAGTTGAAAAAAAAAAAAACAAATATATGGCAAAAAATTAGTTTTATAAGTTGTTTTTAAAGAAGATGGCGCCATAAAAAAAAACAACCTGAAATTAGGGTAAATGTGAAGGTAATTCAAAATTTCCATCCACACAGCAAAAGCAACTTTTCTGATTAACTCAAAGAGTACAAATAACCAGAGTTTAGAAAGAAAGAATGACACGGCATATACAAAACGATAAGTACAGCCTACAAACTTCCATACCTGGAACCACATTTCCATAAATACTAAATGCGCGAACAATGTAATGAGTAAGGGGAATTCTCCTTCATCAATCTTTATAAAGCTGGGACTGATGGTAAATAATAAAAGTTATACTGGGATGTTACTTAAACAAAAGGAATGTGTGGAATTTATTTTTACGAGTTTAAAAGAAGGAAGGGGGGTGGAGAATTAAGAACCATTAAACGCCAAGAGAGAAAACTACCTAATGTAATCCCGGATGTGGGGTGAAGCAGACCAACAAAACCTGACCAGTTATACAGGTAGTGCACTCTGGCGGTAGAAGACTTAGAAACCCAAAGGCAACAATATGTAATGAATGATCATGGTCCACAGTTAATGTTGATAAGAAAGTGAATTTTCTTGGAAGTAATCAAACTTTGCTGCTACAAAACATGGCTCCGTGTTTCTTAGAAATGTAACAATACTAAACATAAATCAAATTATATATAGATTCACCAACCCGTGTCATTTCTGGCTGTATACAGAACTAATCATGGCTTGATACATTTAAAGATGGATGACTATATCCACAAATATGCGGTCTTATCCTGTACAGTGAACTTCCATAAGGGAAGAAAGAAGTGATGTAAAAAAATCCGAACTTCCTCATCGTCCCACCCCCGTCTTTCTAGAGTTATCAACACGTGAAACAGGCGAGCAAATGAGACGAAACCTTGAACTGTGTACTAAACAGCTGAGCCGACGCACGATCTACAGTTTAACCCCGGCGGGGGGCAACTAGGTGGTAACACGATAAGTCAAGCTTTAGCTTCATGGCTAGACCTAGAAAATATTTCTAGAAATCTTATCATTCCTCTCCCCAAGCACAAGTTGCGAAATGCACGTGCAACTGTGTGTGACAAACTACAGAGGATGAACGTAGAGTAACAGAGATATTGACAAGATGACCCCTACACGACACATCTCCCTCTGGTGATGAAGCTATTAAACTTTTCACAATGACTCCACTGTTTAGATGAATGGAGGGTGTAATTTGTTTCTACTACCTGTAGTCATTATGTAGGATTTGGTGAAGTAGAGAGAGATAGATAGATAGAAATAAAGCTATTACAACTTCAATATTATGTCGATTTTATGTTTCCACCACATATATTATATACATATTATTATATCCGATATTTCAAATAAATCATAAAATTTATTGAAAACAATTTAAAATGCTACATTATTTGCACTCTCAATGTGGAATATGATCGTTTTGTTTGCCAACTTCGGAAAAAAAAAAAGACACGGCAATTTTATGGAATTATATAAAAACAAAACCCTCAGAGTGAAGAACTACTTAAAATTTAAACAGAAAGCACCAATGAACCAGGAAATTAGAAACACTTACGTGTAACCATGGTAAACACTTTATTTTCTATTATTCTGTTACTATTCAGGTTTTAACAATGTTAATATAATACAGGTTATGCAAAATACATCAATTAGAAAGCGTAAAAAATATTATACACGATATCATCAAACAACCAACTTCGACTCTTGCAGCCTCGAGTTTCATTGTATAATTAAAAATACCGATTATTTCTAAAATTTTGATTTAGAAGCCATCTTTCAAAACACAATTACAATATTTTATAATTAAATACATTCTGTTAACTTGGTGAATATACAATGAAAACTACATACTTTGAGCAATAGTGGTAAGTAATTAATCAAAGACGCTAATTAACAATATAACAAGTACCCACTTACAAGATGTCCTTCCTCTCGGTAAGAAACCTCAACAGACGGGCACACACGTCACGAAGTACGATACTAGCGCCATCTACCAGCGCGGCCTCCAGATCCTGAGAAAACAAAAGAACTACGTTTGAATTAATGAGATGCCGATTTGTGCCTCATTTGCTAACACTAGTTACACTCATCATGCTATTTTAAACTCGTAAAGGTTTCTTCTAACTTCATATAACAAATAATTTCACCTTCAACGCCAATGCATGTCAGTACGATAGATCTTAGTACCAGACTTCTGCTGTACTTTGAAGCTATACGCGGACACTAACAAGCCACCAACGTTGATACATTCACGTCACCCGCAGGCAAAAAACGTTTTGGTCTACAGTTCCTACACAGGACAGGACGGGGTACTGACCTCATCTGACCACGCCCAGCTGCTATAAAACACTTCAGCCAGTGGCAAGTGTAGCAGTTATTGCAAGAGGGATAAATTGGGGAAACTAATTCAAGTAATGTGAACTGACTCACACTGTTCAAGGGAAAACGTACCTTTCCGTTTCTAACTGCATGCCTCTTGTGATACAATTAGAACCTCTCGATGGTATTTCGCCTTCTGCGTTAGTGGCCGTTGTGTGGTATTCCCTAGCTCAGCGTTTCTAGCCCGCGAGGAGAGCCAGTTTACGTTCCTAAGCGCGAGACTCCACACAAGCGCCGAAAGATCATTTATCATCGAGCGCTGGCAACGTTAGGGTTAAAGCGGCGTCAAAAAATCGGGAGTTTTTATACACTTAGAAGTAGCGACATCTGTGTGTGTGTGATACAAAGTACATGTGGACGTGAGGATGGTCAGTTATTTTTCCGTTTCTTGCGTGTTGCTGTACTCCAAAGTATTCGAACGAAAAAATAAAAGTAAAGAAGATAAATTTTGTAAATCTTGCTGTCACTCATTCTTCTTTTTTGTGTGTTTAAAACACGGGTGTTCCTTCTTTTCTCAAATGTGGTGCAGACACAAAGCAGTTCCTTATATTTGCATTATATATATATATATATATATATTTAACTTTATATGTACAGTTACAACTATCAGTTAACGATTTGGTGAGAATATATATAGGCTATTTTTGTCTCTCTCTCTCTCTGGAGAGTACTGTCCTCATGTGACCATACCCAGCCGTTCTCTGGTCACTTGTCCACCTACATCCCTGACCTGTACATAGTGCTTTAAGACGTCCCTAAATAAACCTATAAATCAAATTGGCTGATTACTATTCTGTTTGCTGTACACGAATTATTTATTTTTATGTGTATATTCCTAAAAATAAAAGCAGAAATATTATATAAAACTAGTTTCACAAAATTACAAAGATTAATTCTGTTCTTAACTCAAAAAAACCAACAAAAATGAGGTTTTCAGAAACTTTTGAAGACTAATATTTAATAAACACGTATAATTGATACTTGAAACCGTCGGTACTTGGTGAAAATCCATAATTAGAGATTTGAAGTAAAACAAGACAATTGAACGTTTCACAAGTACATCATTTATTCACGAGAATCGTTTCGACAGACATCACCATGGTCGTGAATAAATGATATATTTATGAAACGTACAATTGTTTTTTTCAATTCTGTAATAAAGATATCTCAAGAATTGACTTCGGGCAAGTTATTTTACTTTACACGATGCTGAGCGTTTAAAAATTGTCATGGAAATTCCACAATTTTTTTTTATTTTCAGAGTTTGTTTGTTTTTAAACAAGCTACACGAGGGCTATCTGTGCTAGCCGTCCCTAATTTAGCAGTGTAAGACTAGAGGGAAGGCAGCTAGTCATCACCACCAACTGTTGGGCTACTCTTTACCAACGACTAGTGTGATTGACCGTCACATTATAACGTCCCCACGGCTGAAAGGGCGAACATGTTTGGCGTGACGGGGATTTGAACCCGCAGATTGCGAGTCGAGCGTCCTAACCACCTGGCGTGCCGGGCCTATTTTCAGTGTGGTTGATATATATATATATATATATATATATATAT